TTTCTATATTTACAAAAATATCAACAAAAACATAATTTTCATTTCGTACAGGTAATAGAAGAGTACAAAAATTATTTTATATACCGATTTGTAATAATAATGTATCGTATCACAATCCATTTATCCGCGTGTGCGGAAAATATAACAATGTATGCAAGGAGCTTGATATCTTCCAACAATCCTTGCAATGTTACATTAAGGCTGCCAATTTGTTACTTTAAATTTACAGCCGTCATTCTTTTAATGTATATAAATATCGAATGTTATGCAGAGCAGTTGTTGGAGTGCAAATTTAATGCTGTTTTATGGAATATTTATTTGGTAATCTGTTGCCTTGCTATAAATAAATGAATAAATAAAAAAAAAATTAAGAAATGAACTTACACACTTTCGTCCGAGAGCGGTACACATAAAACTAGCTACATCTATGTGGTGTACATCTATGTATGTACATCTAGCCGAGTACGTGATTCGAATGTAATTTTTTTTTCTACGCTTATCCGCAGTTTAGATGACGTGTACAGTATTTACTGACGGTGCATTTTCTGATTGGCGCCGTCTGTCCTTAATTTTTTTTTTATGGGTGATAATGGAATGGTAACTCCACCCGCGCTATCGGTATACATCGGCGGGGCACCAGTGAAGGATGATAGGTGAGGATGAAGCAGGTCAGTTAGCCCATCGTGACGAATTCAACAAGAATTGTTCATCGACGGTTTCCATGGGGAACCACGTGGAGGTCGACCTGGTTGGGTATATTGCTAGTTATTAACAATCCCTTTCCCCCCTGTAATGTAAGCGGAAGCGAAAGTAATAATATGAGACCTAGGCTGGGCCTGGGTTCTAGGTCCCATAAAAGAAGTTTATATGTCATGATGGTACGGACTCACCTTGACTGCGGATTTAGCGTAAGCGGTACACGCTCAGGATGCACCAGGTTTCAGGAAGCCACGGTTGGGTAAACAATCACTCGCGACACTTGGGAACGATGATAGGGAATGTCCAGGGGTTCACGAGTTCTCTCCAGTCCAGGGGTTCTATAAAATGAGGCGTGCTGCTGAATCTACTTGTGGATATGGTGGCTTTACTTGTTTGTTGTTAAGCATTTAATAATAGTTGTAAGTATATATATATATATATATATATATATATATATATATATATATATATATATATATATATATATATATATATATATATATATATTCTCCGTACTTATTGTTATACATGTATCCATATATGCTGTGTTTGCCTTTAAAAAATTGTTACACTTAGTTCTAAGCTCCATAATTGTATATATATTTACATTATTTTGTGGAAACAATTGTTGGTGAACCTAAATAAATAAATAAATAAATAAATAAAATTCTCCGCACAGTAAGCAGGCGCACAACAGCAACCCGTTGCAGAGTGTTACGCGGTAGACGTTGGACTGGGGCCGACCATTTGTCTGTTTTTCTTACCTATGTCAGGGGAATCGGTAGAATATTACGCGATTGGAGGGTATTTTAAAATTTATAGCAATAGAGGTGGTTTTTTTTTGATGGGTGAAAATGGTACGGTAAACCCCGCCTGCGCTAACGGGATACGCTGGCGGAGCACCAGTGAAGGGTGATAGATGAGAATGAAAACAGGCCAGTTAGCCCATCATGATGAATTCATCAGGAATTAACCATGATAGTTTCCAGGGAGAAGCGCGAGGAGGTCGACCTGGTTGGGTGTATTGCTAGCAATAGGATTCTCAGTCTCAATTACTAACAATCCCTTTCCCCCCAACTTTGTATGTTAGCACACTAGGTTTATAACATTGATTTGGCTTTTGCTGTTGGTGTAAATGTTGTAATTATTTTTAATGAATAAATAAATAAATAAATTCTATCTTTGTTCTCCTTTAACCAAAGGTCGTCTGTAAGAGATCGCCCTAGCGATACGACCGCCTTTTGTACCTTTATGTGTATATTTTAACCTGTACCCCACGCTACTGTATTTCACTTGATTTTTTTATATGTCATTGTTTATTTTTATGTTTTTGGTGCAATAAAGAGTTTAATAATAATAATAATACCGAAAGCGACAGCGTCAGGCTCTACTGGGACCGATCCATCATCACGGACAGGACTGTTCTTGCGACCTGATATCGCTCACGATGTCACCATACCGTCGTGAAAGCCGAAACCGAGAAGAAGAGAAAATGTCGACCTGGCTCACGAGGTGACATCGTCCACCGAAATCATTCCAATCGTTATGTCGGTGAACGGTCTTATCCCAACCAGTCTGGAACAACATCTCGGACGGTTGGGATTCCGAGGCGGCTCACTACCGGGAAAGATGCAGAAGGCGGTGCTCTTAGATTCTGCCCGCATTGTACGCCGGTCTCTCTCCCTGGGGCCCTGAACCCCGGCCGACTGTGCTTCTGCCGGGGGTTAGTTGCCATCTCCTCTCCTTAAGAGGGGAGATGAGAATTTTAGTGAAATTTAAAAAAAAAATAATAATAAACATATTATTTGTAGATAAATAACTTTGTTCTGTCGTAAATCATATAAAATATTATTTTGCGTTTTCGGAAGATACATTACGTCGTGTCGGAGCGGCCGATGTATATACAGCGTGTTCACGTTCATCAAATATTCACAGCGACATTAGTAAAGGGATAGTACTCACCTTTGCTCCTAAACTGTTTATAGTACTAATATTATCCAGACGTAAGGCTGCTGTCCGAATGATTCAGAAGAGCGTTTTTTTAGACCGCAAAAATGTGATTTTAAACGGTCACTAAAGCATTGTTACCAGAGGGGGACTTTGTACAAAACTCGTTTTGCACAAAGAGAGAGATGAACACAAACCAACAGACGGTTTAGTCGGTAGTCTCTTAATAAACTATTTTAAGTCATATATTAAAACATTTAATGCCCAATACGCCTGTGGTGGGGGGAAAGGAATTGTTAGTAATGGAGACTGAGAATCTCATTGCTAGCAATATACCCAACCAGGTCGACCTCCTCGCTGTTCCCCCTGGAAACAATCATGGTTAATTCCTGATGAATTCCTCATGATGGGCTAACTGGTCTGTTTTCATTCTCATCTATCACCCTTCACTGGTGCTCCGCCAGCGTATCCCGTTAGCGCAGGCGGGGTTACCATACCATATTCACCCATCAAAAAAAAAAAACCATTAAAAAATCAATGTCCTCGGGAATGGTAATGTATGAAGAACGTCTTGGGTACACAATTTATCCTATACTGTCTATGGTACTGCTCATGTCTATAGGCGTCGGTTACCACTTTTCATCAGGTGGGCCGTCAGCTTGTTTGCCGTTCTAAGTTGTATAAACAAAACGATGTAGTAAAAATTTATAAAACAAATAACTTACCATACCATTTTCACACATCAAAAAATAAAAAATACGCCTGTGTTATCCGCTAATCGCCATCAATCAGACAGACAACTGTATTTCGTCCATTCACTTGCAGTGCAATTTGTTATGTTCTCCCAAGATGCAATAAAGTGCAGTAATATCGTAAAAGCATTGCTATTACAACTAAATATTTGAGTTGTGAGCGTAATAAAATGCAGGCGCAGTCTGGTTTATTAACTAGCTATAGGATTGGTGTACGTAAAATGTTTTATAAAGTCGAGCTTGTAAGTGAAATTGCTTTAAGTTAAAATATAGTAATAATAATAAATAAACTCTTTATTACGCACAGTAGAGATGTATACAAGGAGTATTTATACAGAATGTGCATATACAAAAGGCGGCCTTGTCGCTAGAAGCAATCTCTTACAGACAACCTGGCGTAAATGGTAGATAAGTACAGAGAGAAAGGTAGATGGCGCTAGTCAGACATAGTAAAAACAAAAAAAAATTAACAAAATAAAATGCATATTATTATAAATATCATTAATATAAGAATAAGTCTAAATTATATGCGTAAACACTCATTTTAATGTATTAAATAATTAAATATAGACACGTCAAGATACATTGTATGCGTAAGTATATAGAACACTGATACAACAAACGAGTCAGCTAATTTGACAATTAGCTGACAAACAGTTGACACGTTTTTGCGACTCGATGCTCTGGGAAATTAGGAAGGAAAGGGAAATTAATTTAAAATTTATTAACGATAATTAAATATAGATCTAATGGAAAGAGTATAATCAATGAAACATATTCAAAATAATATTAAACTTTATATATATATAAATTCATAATTTATATAAATATTGCTAAATATAGAATTATCTATTATAAAGATTTAATTCATCACTAGCTGTTGCCAGCGACTTCGTCCGCGTTTCCGTCGTTTTTCGTAAAATAAGTAGCCTATGTCCTTCCTCACGGTTCAGTTTTTGATGTAAAAGACACATCTACTCTATATAATGTAAAAGCATATATAAATATAAAAATATAATAATTGTACTAAGTTTCGTTAAAATCCGTCGAGTAGTTTTTATTTCTATAACGAACATACAGAGAGACAGACAAAAATTTTACTGATTGCATTTTTGGCATCAGTATCGATCACTAATCACCGCCTGATATTTATTTTGGTAATATATTTCATGTACAGAATTGACCTCTCTACAGATTTATTATAAGTATAGATAGATAACTCTGTAATGACTGTTGCACGTCAGTAATGACAAAATGTGTGAAATCACCTTTTGTAATATTACCATGACATTTTATTTTACCACATTTAAGAAATAAATTTTATTCATTCATTCATTCAGTCAGTTCAGTCAGTGTGTGTGTGTGTGTGTGTGCATGTCTGTGTGCGTGTGCGTGTGCGTTTGCGTGTGCGTGCGTGTGTGTATAAAGGTATGTATATATAAATTCAATATTTTAATTCCCCGATACAACTCCTTTGAATTGGAGTGAATGGAATAAAAAATCAATATTATTTAAATTATTTCTTAAAATTTTACATGTATAAAGACCATAATTTAATTCCTTTGCCTCATCTAATATATAAAAAAAAAAAAACAATCAATATAATACTCATATGTATATTCCTACAATAAATCTTAACAAATCAAGTAAAACAATCTACGAATTAATAATAAACGCAAATTTAAAATGTCTTCTAATAAAATAAAGAAATTTAACGCCTTACTAGTTTTTACGAAAATTTTTATGTATTGTAAACATTTTAGCATAACCTTCTGAAGCTTTAGAATAAACATCTGCTAGATCTCTTTTCGTTATGTCTTTTTCATCATCTTTAACACCTACAATTGTTTGATCACCTCTCGTGTTAATATCATTTGTAACGTTATTAAATTTTACATAACTTTTATCATTAACAGAAGATTCTTTATCACCATTTGCTTTTATATCATCTATGTATTTGACATAATCATTCAATTTACTCAAAGAATTCTCATCAATTTTATTTGCTTCAGCAATTTGAGACTCTTCAAAAGGAGTAATCGTTGTTCTTGTATGTTTAACACCGAATTTTGGTATATACATATGTAGTTTTCCCTTTAATCTGGATTTATTTTTGTTACTTCTGTGTTTACTTTGTCTATTGGCATTTCTGAGGTCTCTTCTGTATCTGATGGATTGTTGGCTCGGATAAATATTGGGTATCTGAAATGATTGAGGATATTTTTAATAATAATAATAATAATAAATAAATACGCTGAACTTATAGATCACAAGAATCTGAAAACAGGAAAAAGTTTACATAGTACCGATAGTCCTCTCGTCTACAGGTGTCATTCCCAACCATTTACACCATAGTCTAAAACAAATAGGTCTACGGAAAAATCTCTACATCTCCCTACAAAAGGCTGCTATATCAAATACTCGCAGAATAGTCAGAAAACTCTTAGATATAGATGAGGATGAAGTAGCCACCCGACATACACAAGCGTAACCTTCCATACAAAACATACACACTGCACTCACTTGGTCACGTACCCATAAGTGTAGCATAATTACTAGCGCTAAAAGCTGAGAAATAAACAATTCAATGTAAATAATAATAATAAATAAACTCTCTATTGCGCACAGTAGAGATGTATACAAGGAGTATTTATACAGAATGTGCATCATACAAAATGCAAAATATTCTAAATATAAAAAATAAGATTACAATACATAAACATACATATATAATATAAATAATAATACATAAACATAAATATATAAATATACGTAAATAATCAAGGATCACACATAGTAAACGAGAGAAATTAGAGAGATAGATGGATTTTACCTGCAAGTCAGACACAGTAAATGCATAAAAGGAATCAAACAAAATGCAAAATATTCTAAATATAAAAAATAAGATTACAATACGCTGCGCAATGTACGACCCTGAGAATCGACATGAAACTCAAAGCACATTATGTGGTAATTTTTAAATGTAATAACTACCGCATTAACTTATATATAGTTAGATCGAAGAAGCTCGACTAGTTTCGGAATCAATTCGTGGTCCTTAAACATGAGCGACTGTGACGTGAACACGAGCCTGACTGTTGAGCGCGAGCTGTACGCGCTTTGTCAGAGATAACTTCGTAACTCTTCGGGTATGATCGGCTGATCTCCGTACTTTTCCTCTTCATCTGCCATGTTATTGCCACTAATTGTGTTGAGGATATTTTTGATAGAATTAAGTATAGAACCCCTATCATTACCTTCTATTTATCACTTATCCCATCTTAGATACCGCTCAACCAAATGTATTGAAATTCGATGTATGATAATGGAATGGTAGCCCCGCCTGTGCTATCGCTATACACTGGCGGGGCACCAGTGAAGGATGATTAGTGAGGATGAAAGCAGGCCAGTTAGCCCATCGTGACGAATTCAACGAGAATTGTTCACGATGGTTTCCAGGGGGATTCACGTGGAGGTCGACCTGATAGGGCATATTGCTAGCAATAGGGCTGTCAAACTCCATTGCTATCCCTTTCCCCCCTTCCCGTGGGTCTCGTAAGAGGCGACTAAGGGAACGCGAGCGATGGACAGCGGCGTCTCTCTTAAAACATTTCTAAAAGCTTATCTGCGGTTGCCAACCCCCCTGCCAAGCGTGGCAACTACTGGCAAACCTCTCTTTATGCTCAGCAGTGGTCAGTTAACGGTTGAAATTCATTCAAATTCATATATAAAAACTACAAAGAAATTAAGAAAACTGGAAATACTAGAGGGAGACTTTGTATAAAAGTCGATTGCTTGGATACCTCTGTCCCATTCGTGTTTCAACCGTGAAGCAGTTGTGTTTGCATGGCTGTGTTTCGGTTTGAAGGCTGCGATATGGCAGTGAATTTACTGGGCACAGAGGAATAACACTTGCGTCCTCAGGAATGGCAACGCATGGGGGGTATCATGGGCGAAACAGTATACTCTGTTATGTCCATGGTACTGCTCACGTCTATAGGCGACGGTTGCCACTTTCCATCAGGTGGGCCGTCAGCTTGTTTGCCATTCTAAGTTGTATAAAAAAGAATAGAATGTAAAGTTATTATTTACTTACATTGTACGCATCGTAGAGAGAAAGTTGTTTGTCCAAGAAATCTAGTTGATTCTCCAGATATTCCTTTACGCCAGTCATTTTGCTCTGAAAATTGATTTAAAAAACAATAATACATTCTTAGCAGTTTCTAAAGCCGTGTAGGTCCCGGTATAGAATAGGTTACCCCTTCCTTTCCCATTGGTATCGTAATTAACGGAGCAAAAAAAAAAGGCGCCAAACGTGGCAACTATTGACAATACCCCCTTATTGTCAGCAGTTATATGCAATACATTCTTATCGTTGACTGTAGGATTTTACGGCACCGTCATAGATTTTTTTATGCAACTTAGAATGGCAAACAAGCTGACGGCCCACCTGATGGAAAGTGGTAATCGTCGTCTATAGACATGAGCAGTACCATGGACATAACAGAGTATACTGTTTCACTCATGATACCCCCCATGCGTTGCCATTCCTCTGTACCCAGTAAATTCACTGCCATATCCAACCCTTTAGACCGAAACACAGCCATGCAAACACAACTGCTTCACGGTAGAAACACGAATGGGATAGAGGTGGACAAGCAAACGACTTATTACTTATTGGTGTATGTTTGTGATGAAACATTCTATTTTATTTAATTTCCTACTTAAGTAATCCACGCGTATATAAATAACAGACACAGAGGAATAACACCTGAGTCCTCAGGAATGGCAACGCATGGGGGGTATCATGGGCGAAACAATATACTCTGTTATGTCCATGGTATTGCTCATGTCTATAGGCGACGGTTACCACTTTCCATCAGGTGGGCCGTCAGCTTGTTTGCCATTCCAAGTTGTATAAAAAAAAAACCCAAAGGTACTGTTAAAAAAAAACAAAAATATTAAGACATACCTTACTCTCATCATTCATTCCATCATACTGCTGCATCAATGTCTGAACAGCGTGCAGGGTGTCCAGGTACTCCGACCTTGCTTCTGAATCTACATTGAGACTTGGCTTGGCGTGATCCATAATTGGATCTAAATCATAAAGTACTAGCTTTATCCCGCGGCTCGGTCCACGTGAATCGGTACGAAAAGTATCCTAAGTGCTAAGTTAGGATATAAGCTACTCGTGTAGCAAATTTTATTCAATTTCGTTCAGTAGTTTTTGCGTGAAAGAGTAATAAACATCCATCTACCGTTGCGAACTTTCATATCTATTATATTTATTTATTTATTCATTAGTACAAATATGTGTACATGGCGGACTTAATGCTAGAAGCATTCTCTCCCAGTCAACCATAGGCAAGTGTCAGAATACACGAATGCGGTACTAGTAATTATTGATATACATACATACTAAAATTACATATATAAACGAATAAATATATATGAATAACAAATATATGATATATACTATATTATACAGGAATTTTGGAATAATACGAGGTCTGTCCGGAAAGTTCGTATAAAAGTGTTCTGGAATGCGAGAAAGAGGAGTAGGCCAGGTAAGCGCAGGACCCCTTCCTTATGTCCCTAACAATGCTTCAGTTCTGGTCTGACCGCCGTGCGGTGCGAACTGGCTTGTCACGCCATCTGTGAAGTTACCTCTTAACGAAACCCCGTCGGCATGGAGCCCGCTTCCGTTGAAGAGCAGCGCGTCGTAATCAAGTTTCTCTCGAAACTCGGCAAGAATGGCCGTGAAATTTTTGCCGATCTCAGAACAGTTTATGTGATGCTGTGAAGGAACCAACCGTCCACAAGTGGCTAAAAAGATTCAGAGAGGGCCGAGAAAGCGTTCAAGATGACCCACGTTCAGGACGTCCTTCCACTTCACATTCCGACGAAAACGTGGAAAGAATTCGAACTTGTGTTAATGGGGACCGTCGTTTAACGGTCAGACAGGTGGCTGAAGAGCTTAATTTGGGCAAAACCGTGGTCCACGAAATTCTAAGAAACGAACTTCAAATGAAAAAATTTGCGCCAAGATCGTTCCGTGAGTTTTTGATAAAAATTCCAACGGTGACCGAACACCCCCTATTCGCCGGATTTGGCCCCGTGTGACTTCTTCTTGTTCCCAAAAACCAAATTGGTACTTCGGGGGCGGCATTTGGGGGACATAAATGAGATAAAAAAAGCTACGACGGGGCAGCTGAGACACCTACAACCAGAGGACTTTCAAGGAGCCTTCTCACAGTGGAAACGGCGTTGGCACAAGTGCATTATGTCACAGGGGGAGTACTTTGAAGGGGATAAAATTGATTTACCTGAATAATTGTAAAATAAAATTTTTAAAAAACTTTTATACGTACTTTCCGGACAAACCTCGTATAAAGCACTTACTGCTCGGATAAAGATAAAAAGTGAACGTGGACGCTTTTTTTTAAAGACGGTTTAGTCGGTAGTCTCTTAATGGCATCAGGAAGCGCGTATATTAACTAGCTTTTACCCGCGATTTCGTCAGGGGGGTTAAAGAGGTATCTTCAGGGTTGGCAATGTGCGCGTAATGCCCCTGGTATTGAAGGCGTTCATAGGCTACGGTAACCGCTTACCAACACGTGGGCGGTATGCTTATTTGCCACTTTAGTGGTATAAAAACAATCTACACAGTGTGCCCGAGGATAGACCCATTTTTTTTTATACAACTTAGAATGGCAAGCTGCCCACCGGGTGGAAAGTGGTAACCGTCGCCTATAGACATGAGCAGTACTATGAACATAACAGAATATACTGTTTCGCCCATGAGACCCCCCATGCGTTGCCATTCCTGAAGACTCAGGTGTTATTCCTCTGTACCCTGTAAATTCACGCCATATCCCACCCTTCAAACCGAAATACGACCATGCAAACACAACTACTTCACGGTAGAAACACGAATAGGACAGAGGTACCCAAGCAATCGACTTTTGTACAAAGTCTCCCTCTCCATCTTGTATAGTATATGCCTTACTGACATATCTCTAGTTAAGGCACCCATAATGAGTCTTGCCTGTTGTCTGCCACTACAGTAGACGAGTTTATCCCATCCCTCAGCCGTGTCGTTTAAGAACTTTTCAGAATGTCTGAGACCCTCCAATATTCTCCATTCCTTTTGCTATTTTATTTTCGTATACTCCTCAAGGGCGCAGTTAACGACATTTGATGCAAGTGCGACATATGGTTCAGGACCTATCACTTTTTGATTCTGATCCACTTCTCGCCAAATAGAATAATAGTCATACTTACAGTATACTTTACAGTCTAAAAACATAAACAGCACCATGGGTGTCATGGAATACGGTTTAACACCCATAGAACACTTTACGTGTTGACATTCAGAACTAATGTGTTTTTTTTATGGGTGAAAATGGTATGGCAACCCCGCCTGCGCTAACGGGATACGCAGGAGCTCCAGTGAAGGGCGATCGATGAGAATGAAAACAGGCCAGTTAGCCCATCATGATGAATTCATCAGGAATTAACCATGATAGTTTCCAAGGGGAACCGCGTGGAGTCGACCTGGTTGGGTATATTGCTTGCAATGGGATTCTCAGTCTCCATTACTAACAATACCTTTCCCCCCGAACTTTATGTGTTAAGTCACCGAACCCCGTGAAATATTACATACCGTATTTATTTAAATATCCTTCTTCTAACAGATCGTCCTGTAGATTTGTCATGTGTTGCTGCTTGGACGTTGTTTCAGAATTAGCAGATGTTAGCCATTCTAAGAAGTTTTGAAGATCTGATGGTAATTCTGGGAATAAAAATACTTTTTTTTATAACAACAGGGGGTAAACGAGCATGCGGTAGGATACAATGGTCACTGTAGCCATGTAAATAATAATAATAATGTCGTTTGCTTGGGTACCTCTGTCCCATTCGTGTTTCAACCGTGAAGCAATTGTGTTTGCATGGCTGTGTTTCGGTTTGAAGGGTGGGATATAGCGTGAATTTACTGGGTACAGAGGAATAACACCTGAGTCCTCAGGAATGACAACGCATGGGGGGTATCATGAGCGAAACAGTATACTCTGTTATGTCCATGGTACTGCTCATGTCTATAGGCGACGGTTACCACTTTCCATCAGGTGGACCGTCAGCTTGTTTGCCATTCTAAGTTGTATAAAAAAAAAATTAAAAAAATTACTTTGAAAACAGCAACTGTTGAGTTTCTTGCGGGATCTTCTCAGCAGATAAGAGCATTCCGAACCCAAGTAATAGAATCATAAAAGATGACGATTTTAAAGAGCTTGCTAATATGTCTATTTGGGGGGAATGGGATTGTTAGTAATGGAGACTGAGAATCTCATTACTAGCAATATACCCAACCATATTGACCTGCTCGCGGTTCCCCCTGGTAACTATCATGGTTAATTCCTGATGAATTCATCATGATGGGCTAACTGGCCTGTTTTTATTCTCATCTATCACCCTTCACTGGTGCTCCGCCAGCGTATCCCGTTAGCGCAGGCGGAGTTACCATACCATTTTCACACATCAAAAAAATGTCTATTTAAATATAAATGATTTCTGTTCTATTCTTTAATATTATAGTTTTATCATTTTGTTATACTAACTCAGACAAGTCTTCTCCTGCACCTGGTAATCAACCAGATCGGTCATCAGTCGGACCAGCTGCTTCATCAGTGATGATGCCATTCTTTCCTCATTGCTGTCTTCTCTGGCTGAAATCACGCATCGCAAAGTGAAATATTGTTTCAACCGTGAAGCAGTGCATGGCTGTGTTTCTATTAGAAGGGTGGGATATGGCGTGAATTTACTGGGTACGGAGGAATAACACCTGAGTGCTCAGGAATGGCAACGTATATGGGAGATCATGGGCGAAACAATATACTCTGTTATATCCACGGTACTGCTCATGTCTATAGGCGACGTTTATCACTTTCCATCAGATGGGCCGTCAGTTTGTTTGCCATTCTATGTTGTATAAAAAAAAATTATTTTGTTTAATTCCGCTACCATTAGTATGTGTGTGTCTGCCAACACTGGAAGATTGACCTCTATTACTACCAGAACAACTACAGCTTTCTATATAACTATTTTATTATTGTATTTTATATTGATGGTCAGTCTTCGAGTGTTGGCAGTCGCACACATACTAACGGTAGCGGAATTAAACAAAATAATTCTAAACAAATAACCAGCGATATGGACTTCCGCAAGATAACGCCTAGTTCAGTAAAAAAATCTTTTGGTACTTTTTAACAGCATACCATTTGGCATAAAAAAATTAATAAGAAGAAGAGAGTGGAATAAGAGATATAGACTGCTCTGTTGGTGACACGAGGTAACAAAAATTACAAGTATTTTTATAAGGCTTGTAATGGAGAACAAGTTGATGGCTCACCTGATGGGTAAGTGGTAACCGTTGCCTATAGATATGAGCAGTATCATGGGCATAACAGGATACACTATTATACCTTAGGTACACCTCATGATTTTCTTTAATGTTTGATAATGAAATGGTAGCCTGCGCAAAGAGTACACAATGGCAAGGCATCAGTGAGGGATGGTAAGTGAGGATGGGAGCAGGTCAGTTAGCTCATCTTGACGAATTCAACAGAAAAACTACGATGGCTTCTAGGAGGAATCACGTTGAAATTAATCTGACATATTTGCTAGCAATAAATCTAGTGGTCCGCATTACTGACAATTCCTTCTCCCCCAACGTATGTGAGGTGCCACGGGTAAAAATGAGCAATATACGTTATGCTGCTACCAATGTTGTAGGTCTCCATTACTAACAATCCCTTTCCCCCCTGGACTACGGTGTTATGCTACCATACTCTAGTACTAGTACCGAGGTTTACCTTTAAGATTTTTGGTCTGATGCACGGCTCTGGCTGCCTCTTTGCAAATCTCTTTCATTTTAATTGTCAATTCAGCGAAATTGTCCGGTTTGTTAGCATCATACTGAAATATGTTTTCTGTTTTAAACATTCTTCTTTTAACCGACTTCAAAACAAAGTAGGAGGTTCTTAATTCGGCGGTGTTTTTTTAAATTTACCATATCACACCATATCAGCCTCCCCCATAAGGAGGGTTTTTCCCAGTAGTTGTCACACTTGGCAGGCGGCATGGAAACCGCAGTTTGACTTTTGGTGGTGTTTTAAAAGGGACGCTGCTACCCATCCCTTCACCTTAAGCTCTCAGGCCTCTAACGACACCGACAGGAAAATAAGGGGTAGCTTATTCTATACCGGGATTTACACAGCTTTTTAGATCATCAGATCATTTACTTAAACTATGATAATTTACTTGAACTCGACTTTCCGAACTAGTTACACTGACCGCGGACACAAGTAGACTGATGCAGCATATTCGTGTCTCTTTCGGAAACAGAAGTTTTTTCTTCTACCCACTCATTGTCTTTTATCAAAATGTGTTTTATTTTTGCGAAAAATAATCTATTTATTTATAAATAAGATATAATTTATTTAATATTACTTACATTTGAGTTCATAATATTTCTCTTTTTAATTATTTGACGACTTTCCCTTGTATAGACAACGTTCCTGTAATGTATTTTTCATTAAACAATCTTTTGAAATTGATAATTTTTTCTTATGTAACTTAGAATGGCAAACAAGCTGACGGCCCACCTGATGGACAGTGGTAACCGTCGCCTATAGACATGAGCAGTACCATGGACATAACAGAGTATACTGTTTCGCCCATGATACCCCCCATGCGTTGCCATTCCTGAGGACTCGGGTGTTATTCCTCTGTACCCAGTAAATTCACGCCATATCCCACCCTTCAAACCGAAACACAGCCATGCAAACACAACTGCTTCACGGTTGAAACACGAATGGGATAGAGATACACAAGCAATCGACTTTTGTACAAAGTCTTCCTCTGGTATGTCTGTATACGTTTTGACATTATACAAAAATTACTGCACCAAATTGAATGCAGTTTTCACTGTTGCATACCTGAAAGTCTAACTTAATATCTGGTGTATGTTTTAATTTGACACGTTATTTAAAAGTGGTATTTTTCATAGGTTTTCTATGAATATTAAATTCACGCGTACGACATAACAGATAGAGAGCTGGTTCAATTATTAACAATTTTTACCTGTTTTTATTATTTTTCTGATGTTTTGTTTTATTATTTTTCTCATTGTGTTCAGAAGTATTCAAATAATAATCAGCAATACTTTTAACCTTCCGCTGCAGCCATTGTCGTGATCTCTTCATAAAGTCATTACCTTCATTTGTACGTTTGTCTGTAATCTTCGATTCTAGTGGATCAACTTTAATACCATATTCATCATCGTACATATCGTTCCAAAATATCAAATTACTATCTATTGGTACGCTTCTTTTTACTACAGATTTCGCTGTATCGTTTTCATTGGCTTTACTTCCATGAGTTACAGCCTCTGTTCGTTCTCCATTCACTTCACTGATCGTTGCCCCTGATTTTGCATTATCTAAAATGGCTGTCACATTTGGTGTATGAACTGTGACAGGTTTTTCTGTAAGATTTCAAGTAGTTTTTATTTCTGTAACGTTAGAAAATTGCTGTAGAATAATTTTCGGAAGCTATCCTTTAAGAGACATTCCCAAAGAGGGTTGACGTCAGGCAGGTGGCCGGTCGTAAAACTAACAACCAAATCTTTTTGTAATATGGATAAAATCATATTACGCCGACCCCATATGATTGGGATAAGGGTAGGAAGATGATGGTCTTTTAAGAGACACAATAGGCAGTGAACTCACAGAAAGTATCAAATTTCTGTGAGTACATTTTGAAAGAATCATAGCTGGGACAAGCAGATAGTTACGAATAAAAAGAAATTCAGAAATGGTGTACCTGATTCAATTACAGATGTCGCAGGTTGGGTATCGTCTTTATTTTTTTCTATTTTGCATACATTTCTAAATTCACTATTAACAGACATGAGAACTCTCGATCTGTGTCCTATATTATCTACGATATCCGAATCATAGACAGGATCAACTATATTTGTATTACTATGGATAAAAGCATTAGTAATATTTGGCATTACAGTTACAAGATTTTTACTGAAAAAAAAAATAGAAATTAACTTATCATCATCATCATATCAGCCTTTAACTGCCCACTGCTGAACATAAGCTCCTTGGGGGATTTTGCCAATAGTTGCCATGCTTGGCAGGCGGGTTAGCAACCGAAGTTAGGCTTTGGTGATGTTTTAAGAGGGACGCTGCTGCTCATCCATTCTCCTTGCCCATTATTTTCTTATCAGAATGAAAACTATTTATCTCACAAAATAGATTTTTTTTTATACAACTTAGAATGGCAAACAAGCTGACGGCCCACCTAATGGAAAGTGGTAACCGTCGCTTATAGACATGAGCAGTATCATGGACATAACAGAGTATTCTGTTTCGCCCATGATACCCCCCATGCGATGCCATTCCTGAGGACTCAGGTGTTATTCCTCCGTACCCAGTACCCAAATTCACGCCATATCCCACCCTTCAAACCGAAACACAGTTATGCAAACACAACTGCTTCACGGTTGAAACACGAATGGGACAGAGGTACCCAAGCAATCGACTTTTGTACAAAGTCTTCCTCTGGTAATAGAATAAACAATGCTTATTTCCAAAATTGTATTCATGAACTATTTCGAAGATTATCGTGAACAAACATCGTTATAAGGGATTTTTACATTTTAAGAGAAGTACTAGAGAAAATAGAGAGTAGTTGGCTCAGGACCGTTTCTTGTCTATATTGGCAGTCTATGGGAGATGCCTATGTTCACTAGTGACCAGATGCCATTAGCCGGTATCTGCTGACTGCTGATTCTACGACGAATTATAAATTAGAAAAAAATTACCTACGTACGTATTGTTAGAATGGTTGTCATCCATTGAGTAACTAGCCAAAGTAGAAAACCAATTTGAAATTAAGTTAAAAAAATCGTTAAACCGAAAATCCGTTGTATTGTTATATTGATTACTATTAACATTTTTTGTGTTATCCATTTCAATACTGGTGTTTTTATTAACTGGTATAATAGTTTCATTTACATGTTTATTGTCTAATTTCTTTATGTTTACTGGAAATATATTTCTTTCAGAATTTGTTTCAGTAACTTTTTGGTTATCAGCAATACTTTTAATAGTATCTAGATATGTATTATTTTTATCGAGAGTAAATTTTAAAGAACGTTTTCGATATACTGTTGCACCTGGATTCCGATCTGTTAAATTTTTATATCTATTAACTTTCATATCTTCTTCAGAAGTATAATAATTGTCATCTGCATATTCATTGTCAGTTTCTATAGACTTTAATGATCTTTTAATAAAACGACCGTTATTGTTATAATAATCGAAGTTATTATAAGACTTTAGTATCGATTTTTCTTTGTCGATCGAAGCAGACTGCTCATTGTTACTTTTATCGGGCATAAATTTCTTTGTAGTTCTTATATCATCCCCAATATGAACTTTTTTTGGTGACACAGAAGAAAAAAAGACAAAATCTGAATTCAGAGGACTAAAACTGGACCGATGTGGCGCCAATGACTGTGGACTCTTAGGAATGTTTAAGTGCTTTTGTAATTTTTTCACAAATCCGAATTCAATAACATCGTCACGGGAATTCGATGTAGGCTTAAGCTCAAATACGATACCCTCAGATTCCGTGCCTGAAATATAAAATATTTACAAGTCAACAATGTGATCATACTCAAATAAATAATTATTAATTAATGCTGATTATTGAATACCTTTTTTAAGTCTTTCAAATAGTTTATCTTTAAAGTATTTAGCTTTATCTATGGATAGTTTAACTCTATTTTCTATGGATTTGTCTTGATTTATATCCTTTCTAGAGTCCTTTTTGTCGTCAAGTACACCATAATCGCTGTATGCTTGTGCCATTTTAACTAATTTTTCATATTTGTTGTCCAGATAATCTTCAATATATTCGACATCATTAAAATCTGATTCAGAATTTTCTTTTTCTGCAGATATATCTTTTGTGTTTACTGGTACTTCTGCTTTATTAGCGTTATTTATATTTTCAATTACTGCTTGTTTTATCATTGAGTTTAATTCATGTGGATATAAAGGCAGAGAACCTTTCCAATTTGGATTACGAACTCCAGGTGGATTATTTTTTATGGGTCCATAAGGGGGTTTAGTTTCTCCGAATTTTATGTCCTAATAGCAAGAAAATAAAGTAATGTAACCTTTGAACATCGTTAGAGGTGATTAAAGTAATAAAGAAAAATAAACTAGATAAGGACAAGGAAAACTTATAATAGAACATTGTACCAAGTTCCTTGGTAATATATTTTTTTTTTACAACACAGGGGGGCAAACGAGCATGCGGCTCACCTGATGGTAAGTGACTACCGCCGCCCAAATCTTATAGAGAAAGCTTTATGCCGAGCAGTGGGACATTAAGGACTTATTAAGATTAGGTGAGATTAGTAAAAGTTATAAACGGTTATAAACGGCAGCAAAGAAGCACGTTAGTAATAAACTCCCAATCGCGTTTATAGATTATAGTTTAAAAGGCCGGCAGCACACTTGCAATGCCGCTGGTGTTGCGGGTGATCATGGGCGGCGGTAGTCACTTACCATCAGGTGAGCCGCATGCTCGTTTGCCCCCTGTGTTGTAAAAAAAAGAATACACCCTAGTTACAGGAACTATTTAGTAAGCTTGTTCACTCCAAGAAACTAAGCTACAAAAATGACTTTGGTTGACTAATTTAAATATATACGATCGAGGGAAAAGATAATAGGATCTAAAAGCTCCATTGCTAGCAATATATCCTATCAGGTCGATCTCCATGGTTCTCCTTGGAGACCATCGTGGTTAATTCTTGTTGGATACGTCACGATGAGCTAACCTGTTTTCCTCACCTATCATCCTCCACTGGTGTCCAGCTACATCGATACTGCAGCCGGGATTACCATACCATTTCACCAGAGGGAGACTTTGTACAAAAGTCGATTGCTTGGGTACCTCTGTCCCATTCGTGTTTCAACCGTGAAGCAGTTGTGTTTGCATGGTTGTGTTTCGGTTTGAAGGGTGGGATTCCTGAGTCCTCAGGAATGGCAACGCATGGGGGGTATCATGGGCAAAACAGTATACTCTGTTATGTCCATGGTACTGCTCATGTCTATAGGCGACGGTTACCACTTTCCATCAGGTGGGCCCTCAGCTTGTTTGCCATTCTAAGTTGTATAAAAAAAAAAAACATTTTCATCCATTAAGAAAATACGTACGGTCTTACTACAACAATAATTTAAAACATTGTTTATCTAAACTGAGTTTAACAAAACTCTGTCTTAGTATTTATCATTTTATTTGCCAATATCTACAGAAAATAATATAATGAAATTTATTACTTTAAACCATTTATTTTTGATAAGACAAAATTTATTTCTTTTATATAAGAAAACTCGCGCTTGCGTCACGGCTGCTCATGACTAAAAGTCCCGTATGGTCCCGATATTAGTCGAGCATTCTTGACTAAAATACACGTAAGCTAACCCTGCTGTTCTTACATTAAAATATAATGTGTATTTATTTACCAAACATTTAAGAATAAAAGGACATACTTTCTTTTGTTTACACATAAACAGATGTTAGACAGACGTTGGACTTTTGTCTATCGCAAGTTTAATTTTTTTGTGACTAAGATTCACCCCAAATTACGCCAACTCTATGTTTTATTTTAGAATTACTTCCATATCATGTAAGTAAATAAATTAATTTCTAAATTAAATCTTACTTCTCTGCTTTTTTTTCGATCAGCCCTACGATCTGATTCATCATGTGATTCTAAATCATCAGCAAGCACTTCTTTAAAGTCTTCGTATGACATACTTTCTTCATCTTCGTCATTTGCTTGCATCAATTTCCTCATGTTTGGATATGTTTGTCTTACCTTTATTGGTTTGGAGGCTTTGTCGTAGCTTGGGTTCCTGTAATGTATCGCATCAGCTTACCCTTTATCATATCATCATCATATAGTCAACATAAGCCTCCCCAATAAGGGGGATTTACCAATAGTTGCCATACTTGGCAGGCAAGTGAACAACCACAGCTAGGCTTTGGTTTTGTTTTGAGAGGGAAGCAAAACACCTCTTATGAGGGAAGCCTGTGTTCAATAGTGGACAGTAATGGCCGATATGATGATCATGATGATCATTTTTAAACGACTAATTACAATAACATACATACAGACAATATAAATTGAAAAATAATATTTGCCAAAACTCTTTTAAATTGTCGATTAACTCTACGAATTATACACTAACCATCAGTTAGTAATCTGTATCTGTATCATATATTATATTATTTTATAAAAACATTAAATATTAACAAATATACAATATCAGTCATTAATTGTCGACTGCTGAACCTAAGGTTTTGCCAGTAGTTGCCATGCTTGGTAGACGGGTTAGAGACCATAGCTAGGCTCTGGAAATGCTCTAAGAGGGACGCTACTGCCTATCTTTCGACGGCTTATTCAAAGCCAAGGAACTACATATATCTTAAACCTGCGGTTTATATCGTTAAGGTAACACAAAGGATCTATGAAATGATGGTATAAGGCAGGGGGAAGCACAGAAGATCCCGATGGGTCGACGTGCAACAGCTTAGCTGACCCCATATGCGAATATAAGATAAGATAAGATCTTTCGACCATTCCCTTAGTCGCCTCTTACGACACCCACTGGAAAGAAAGGGGTGGCCCATTGTGTGCCGGGACCACACGGCAAACAAATATATTATTGTTCAATACTTACATGACAGTAGACATATCGAGTGCAACATTATAAAGTAAATCAATCGATAGTGTTGTTTGTTTGTCATCTTTAATATTATCTAGAAAATCCTTTTCGAAATCTGATTTTGTGCTTAGAAAATTACCTGCTGCATTATTAGAAATTTTAATATCTTTATTCTTTATAACTTTCCTTTGTATCGTTGATACTTGTTCTTGTTTACCATTCTTCGTTTTAAACAGTTCATCTGTTTTGATTGGTTCCGCCATTACTTCGGGTAGATTGTTGTCTAAAAACCGATCAAGCAGTTCTTCAAAATGTTCAGTGTTCTTGTAAAACGGATGTTTCATTTGTGTCTCGTGGGATTTACCATCTTTTGGTACGTGAGAACATTTGGGTACTTTACGTAATGGGGCATTTGGTTTATAATGTACCATAATCTTTTTCTTTTCTATAAAAATCCCTTTTGGTTTATCAGTCATATTATTGCATCGTTTATGTCTTTTCTTTTTACTGTTATTGTCTTTTGTGGTTAAATTCAGGGATATATCATTAGTTTTATTATTATTTTTGTTGCCTTTTTTAACTTTAAATATGAATAGAGACGATCGATTGCCGTTCTTCAGTGATCTTTTAGATCTATCTATGTTATATTTTAGATCATTATTCATTGATGTATAATCGTTAAACAATCCATTTTTCAAATTTTTTATTTTAACATCTGTTTCTATTAGTTTCTTGTAGAAATCTATAGCATAGAACAAATTTCATTAAAACACTACTATTAATCTTGTAAGTGTAACGCCACCTGGTGTCGAGAGTTACTAAGCCGCCTTTTTAGAATATATTTTCAAGTGACTTCAAAATAGGAGGTTCTTAATTCGGTGGAATTTCTTTTTTAAAATTTATTACATTAGAACTTCGTTGTTTATCAAAGGATTGGAAAATTTATTATTTTATTTCAAAGGATGTACTTACGGAATGGTAACACAGAATTTTTATCAAAATCGATTAAATAGTTGAGTTTCTGAATTAAAATAACTGGTTCAAATCTCCAATCGACTGAAGTCGTTGTTTCTTGTGTAATAAAATCTTATTTTAGTTATTATACTATTTGTAGTATGTATGTAGTATGGCGACACTTGTATTGGCTCAAGTGCATATTTATTGTTAAGAGTTAAGTTTAAAACGGCCAAATGGACCCCGCGGTAATGGGACAGCCTGTTTAGTGGAGCGTTAATTAAGGACAAACAATTTATTCGTCAATTTGTATTATTTTTTTTTTTATGCAATTCAGAATGATAAACAAGCTCACGGCACCCTGAAACAAAATGGTAACCGTCGCCTATAGACATGAGTAGTACCACATAATAGAGTATTCTGTGTCACCATGCGTTACCATTTCTGAGGACTAAAGTGTTATGCCTCGGTACCCTTCAAACCGAAACACAGCCTTGCAAACATAACTGCTTGAGGGTAAGTACACGTGTGGGATGGAGATTAACTTACCTATCAATCGTTCGTTGCTTCCACCGTCATTAACCTTCCCGTTGTCTAACATGGTGGAGAGATCACTGTAGAATTTGTTGCTCGAATCGTCTAGACTATTCTAGAACAAACAAAAGAAACCCATATATACTTCTATATACTTATATATTTTCAACCGTGTAGTCCCGGTATAGAATAGACCTTTTCCTTTCCCCTGGGTATCATTAGAGGCGCCGAAGGAAAGACGAGAAATGAGCAGCAGCGGCTCTCTTAAAATATCCCCAAATCCCAACTGCGGTTGCCAGCCCGCCTATCAAACATGGCGACTACTGACAACCCAAGGGGAGGCTTACGTTCAGCAATGGTCAATTAATTGATATGATATGATGTATATGTATCATATTAGCTTTATGCCCGCTTCTTCGTACGCTTGAATTTTAGATGTAGAAAAACCAATGAAACACCACTTCTAGATAGCGCATCGAGAATTCTCGTATATTCGCGCTCCTATATCTTAAAAAGGCCAATTTATAAACTTCGTTCACTATTTTTTTAATTTTCCCTTTAAACTTTACCATGCTTGCGGGCTCTTCTTGATAGATAACAACCTTCCGAACCCTGCAGTACACAGTACATTAAAAAATAACAATTTAAAAGTGCTTGTAAATAAGTTTATTTGAATAAAGACAATTTGAATTTTGACAAATGATTGCGACGTTGATACGTCGGGAAACAGAACTTATGAACGCCGTTAATTTATTTTATGTGTCGGATACTTCTAGATGGTTGCATAGTTTCATTTTCCAATTTCGTCAATATAAGAGCTGTGCCGACTCTTAAATAACATATTTATTATTTAGTCTATGATTTCTCTGTATCTCGCACCACACCCTTACGTACCATCTTAGAAGGGTAACAAGTTGTAACTCACTGCGTATGTTTCTATAAATTGATGTCGCCTCTCGCTCGAACGATCGCCGTTAGAGAAGGACGGTAAATAATTTAAGGCGACACGTACGTCACATGTTGTTAATGATCGCTTAATTTGGAGTTACGTTAAGGCGTAGCTCTCTCATGGATTGAGATAAAGTGTTATTTATTGTTAATTATTTATTTCAATTTTTTTTATAGTATTTGTAATGGCAAACAAGTTGACGCTCCACGGAAAGTGATGACCGTCGCCTATAAACACAAACAGCAGCTTGAATAGATAGAAAATAAATATATAGCTTATTTTACTCGACTTACTAAAGGTGAAAGAATTTTTAAAGGAGTAGTTTTTGGGTTTATCCATAACAATTATACAAAGAAACATAAAAAATCAATCTTTCCTCTTTATATTTAAGATTTTGTGTGCGTGCGTGTGTGTGTGCATGCGTGCATGCGTGCGTGCGTGCGTGCGTGCGTGTGTGTGTGTGTGTGTGTGTGTGTGTGTGTGTGTGTGTGTGTGTGTGCATGTGGGTGTGCGTGTGTGAGTGTGTGTGTGTGTGTGTGTGTGTGTGTGTGTGCGTATGTGTGTGTATGTGTATGTGTGTAATATGATCCGCGTGATGTAGACAAGTTACGTTCATCACGGTAATGGTCGACTAATGCGTCTATCTACCATGTATGTAAACTTTAATGCACAGTAAAATTCATATGTACATTTGGCGGACTTAACACCGGCCGGTGTTCTCTACCAGTCAACCATTGGGCGAACAGAGAAATACGTAGGCGGTGCATTATTGAATAGAGGAAAAACAAAGCAATACTTGATATATTCATATAATATTAATATACACGTAATATATTAAATAAATAAATAAATACATGCATAAAACATTATAAAATAATTAACTGTAATAGAAGAGCGAACAGCTATCTATGACTCAAACAGAGTAATCAGCAGGACAACTGACTGGTACAGCGCTCTACCCATTGATATATATATATATATATATATATATATATATATATACATTGATGCTCCCTTCCACTTTGCGTGTTGCTGGAGGAGAACTCTATTAGAGTTAAGCTCGCCTTTGTACATTTGTTTTTTTTTTACGAGTGAAAATGGTATGGTAACCCCGTCTGCGCTAAAGGGATACGCTGGCGGAGCACCAGTGAAGGGTGATAGATGAGAATGAAAACAGGCCAGTTAGCACATCATGATGAATTCATCAGGAATTAACCATGATAGTTTCCAGGGAGAACCGCGAGGAGCTCGACCTGGTTGGGTATATTGCTAGCAGTAGGATTCTCAGTCTCCATTACTAACAATCCCTTTCCCCCCTTGTACATTTGATTACCTCTGTCATATTTGCTATGTTATATTACTGTGTACAAAATAACAATAGATTACATAAAAAGAAAAATAAAATTGAAAGATGTAATAAAAACTTTAAAAGAACTCAAGTGGAGGTGGACAGGACATATTATGAGTCATACACTGGTATCCAAGATATGGGACAAGAAAAATAGGACGCCAGATAAAAAGATGGGAGGATGACATAAAAAGAACAGCGGGAAATTTGTGGTATAGATTAACGAAAGATAGAGAAAAGTGGAAGGCTCTTGAGGAGGCATGTGTCAAAGGAGAAGCTGGAAACGTCGATTAGAATTGTAGTATTAAATGTTTGTAAAATGTAATACTTTCAGCAATAAAGGCTTATTATTATTATTTTTTACAACACAGGGGGCAAACGAGCATGCAGCTCACCTGATGGTAAGTGACTACCGCCGCTCATGATCACCCATAGCACCAGCGGCATTGCAGGTGTGCTGCCGGCCTTTTAAAAAGGAATATGCACTTTTCTTGAAGGTTATGTTGTCGTATCGGTTCGGAAATACCGCTGCTGGAAGTTGATTCCAAAGAATGGTTGTGCGTGGAAGAAAGTGCCTTGAAAAACGCACGGTGGAGGACCGCCACTCGTCCAGATGATTGGGATGAAAGTTTAGTTTGTGGCGGGTTGTATTATTACTGTGTACAATAAAATATAAATAAATAAATATTATTTTATATGTTTACTCACTCCTTTTGCAAGCAAGCTTGCCCTTAACTAATACCATAGGTTTATATTACAATTGTTCGTTTATTTGTTAAGTTTTAACTCGAAAACTTTCCGGTCACACCCATGGAGTTTGTAAATTCGATGGTGTATTGATTTTGTGTATTTCGTTGCGTAATCAAATGTACAAATTTGAATTACTAATGTTCTCTCCCGACTTCGTGTGGCCCATTCAACCCACACCTGGAATCCAGTATGACGGTTTTTAGAGAGAACCACGTGGAAGTCAACCTGACAGGGTATGTTGCTAGCAATAAGACTGGTATTTCGTGTTACTAACAATCCCTTTAAAACATATAATAAAATTCCAGGGTGGGATATGGTAGTGAATTTACAGGGTACAGGGGAATAACACCTGAGTCCTCAGGAAAGGCAACGCATGGGGGCGTATCATGTGCGAAACAGTATACTCTGTTATGTCCACGGTACTGCTCAAGTCTATAGGCGACGGTTACCACTTTCCATCAGGTGTGCCGTCAGCTTGTTTGCCATTCTAAGTTGTATAAAAAAAAAAAACATAAACGTATAATATAATAAGTAGTGTATTCGTTCCCTCTTACGCCACCTACCCATTTCTATCTGTTCTCCTTTAACCAAAGACTGTCTGTAAGAGATCGCCCTAGCGATAAGACCGCCTTTTGTACCTTCATGTGTATATTGTAACCTGTACTCCACGCTACTGTATTTCACTTGAATTGTTTATATGTCAATGTATATTTCTATATGTTTGGTGCAATAAAGAGTTAAATAAATAAATAAAAAACAATGTAAATTGACGAAAACAATTATTTGTTCACAATTAACCCTCAACTAAACAGGCTACAAGGCGGCCCCATTACAGCGGGGTCCATTTGGCCGTTTTAAAATTAACCCTTGCCAATAAATATGTCTAGTTGGTTATTTAAAAGCACGCAGGTGGGCGAGAGCTGGCTACTTAAGAATTATACTTCGCTTTCATGTAATGGGATTTTAATTTTTAGTGCAAATGGGTCAAATGAGCGGCCCCCCGTCCTCCCCCCCCCCCCCTCCAAGCGTTTCACTTCGTTCAGTTAGAGATTGGTACGCTCTGAGTACCTACTAACATCGTAGTGATGTGGAACACCGTTAACGAATCCAAATCTGTGTTATTTTAGATTCTAGCATGCTCGGCGACTTTCACTATAACGGCTAATGCATTGATGAAATAGATTGTATTTTTTCGTATGTCTGTCACCTCATAACTCCATCAAACAAACTCCCAATAACGGGTCATTGTCCATTAAACAAACATTTATACACAATAGGAGCCACAGACAGGCCTCTATGTCGAGGCTGTTTCGACGCCGAACAAACGGCCGCTCACGTAATCCTGGAATGTGAGGCTGTGGCCCATCAACGTTTAGAAATCCTCGGAACGGTGTGGTCGCTCCGTGAGGCCTGTGAAGAACCCAGGAGGCTTCTGCGCTTCTGGGCGGAGCTGGGCTGGCTGTACTAGCCACGACTCATACGCACAACGGCCCAAATGAGAGGCTGAGCGCGGAAAACAGAGTCTTCACTTCATAACACATTCACTTCATAACTCAGTTGTGAACCGATTTGAAAAATTCTTCTCTTATCTGGAAAGATGTACTTACAGACTGGTCGTGTATAAATGAATGAATGTGTATACTTTATTTGCATTATACAATATAGGGAATAAGCAAGACAATTTACAAACGCAACGATACAGTTGTATAAGTACAGTGAGGCGGTCTTATTGCTGAGAGCAATCTTTACAAGACAACCTTAAGGTAATGGAAAATTTTATCAAAATCAGTTAAGTAGTTTAGTTTTTAGATCGAAATAACTGGTTTTGTTACAATTGAAGTCGGTGTTTCTGTTTCGAAACACAATCTTAAATTGTTTTTGATATTTAAAATGGCAAACAAGCTGACGGCCCACTTGATGATAAGTTGTAACCGTGGCCTATAGACATGAGCAGTACCGTGGACATAACAGAGTATACTGTTTCGCCCATGATACCACCCATGCGTTGCCATTCCTGAGGCTCTCAGATGTTATTCCTCTGTACCCAGTAAATTCACGCTATATCCCA